ATTGTTTACATTTTTCGAACAAATATGTAATTTGTTGAAATATGACACCTCTTGACCCTTCAAAGGTCATAAATCGCTATAATGTTTGTCTTTGACTACAACTATCATTAGGAATCAGGAGATATTATCTCGCTGAATCGAATGGTGGTATTTTCAGCTACGTAGCATGTACTGAACCGAAGATATGAACCTCCAAAATACTATTTCAGTTCTGCAATAGTTTTCACAGGACCGGTCGAAAAGGAGTTAAAGTAGATTGACAATATAATAATGTAGCTGGGCTGGCTGCTAGAAATTAACAATTCTTAATTTCTTACATGAACATACCCTGATATAAACTTGATAAGTCAATACCATCCTTGTACCCAGGGTCTTTTTGGGAAAGACCCTGGTATCGGCTGGTCATGTGACTCCACAAAAATTGATTGCCCAAGGGGGAGTGGCAAAGTATCAAATTACATGCTTCCACAGAAAACGTTAAATTTCAAATACCAGGAGTGGGATTTTACGATATATAGTTCGAAGCGCCCGCTAACTTCTATTTTATACTTCCGTTTGCTTTTAAATTACAAAAACACTGTAGCATTTTATCAACAGTCAAGTCAAGAAACAAATGTATACTTTAAACTTTGAAGTTGGGTATTCCCTTGAAACATATTTTCATATCAAACTGGTCAGTCCTCAAAGTTTGTACAGTTTCACTTTTATCTGTTCCGAAAATATGATATTAGATTTCTTGTTTGAAAACGTTGATAAACTTTGTGCAGATTTACTAATAGTACGCGTCTCATTTTATAGTGAAGGTTGATAAAATTTGTGAAATGAGTAATTAACTTTTTGTCACAAATCACAATGTAAACATGTGGACACTGCCGAACAGAGACTAAATGCTCACTTTAAAACTGTCGATGGTTTATCTTTGAAAATACTTTTAATTAAATAGCTCGTCATATTTTTTTAGAAACCCTGTAGATCGGTAGGGTAGGAGGTTGGCAGGTAGTAAAGTACAACAATTTTCAGCCTCAGGGCGTGTATCATCAGGTGGTATATACAATCACGGCTTTAGCATAATAATTTTTGGCCTCCATGCACTAAGTAATGGGGTAACAGCAATATTTATAACAGTATTTTTCTGATATACAGTACACACTTTATAATTACATGAACATAGTCATAGATAATTCCATAAACCACGGAATAAACAACGGCATAAACCACGGCATAAACACTGATATCAGACTCCATCTGACATGCATATGCAGTCATATATAGTCATATGTCTCATATGTACCCACCACAGATATATTAACACTTTATATAGTCTTAGAGTTTGATTCAGTATTATATTTCACAAAGTACTTCATTACAGTAAAGTAAGTAAAGCTAATGTCACAATTAAAGCTATTTATCAAATTTATCATGAGGACTGCATTCTCTAAATGTCCTAAATGTCAAACATATTCAGTATTCGTATTTGTAACATATACGCACAGACGAGTCTTTCACTTATCTTTGAGTAGGCTATTGTCGGATTATTTTACCGTAGGTTTGTTAACAGGGAGGTATACTTCGACATATTTCTTGAGCATCAAGCTCTGAGGATGGTTCTGAAGTTTCAGCAGTCCGAGTAGCATTGTTTACAAAGCAACATAGTTTGCGATATTTCAGAAATCAAAAGATCTCTATATATTTCGTTACACATCTCAGTATTAAATAAATCCTTTAGGATAGACATCAACAGCTAAATAACAGCCACATTGGTCGGTACTGGTGTAGAAATATATTTTCTTGTAACGTTTGTGACGTGTTGATTTTCTTCGACGAGCTGTATCGGCATAATTTGTCTATTGAAATCTGATCTATCTTTGCTCACCGACATTCTGCCACAATGAAATTTGATATTTACTGTTGTGTAACATTGATAGTCTTCATGACAAATAAAATATACAAATTTGTAAATATTTCCTGCATGATTTCTGGGTTATTCCTTCGCTCACTCCTTGCTCAATGACAAAACGTACTTAGGTACCCACCCTGATTGAAATTGTTTGTTATCTCCCAGATTCTGGGAGACACATGACCAGCCGATAGCAGGGTCTTTCCCAGCCGGTGGAAAGTCCCTGCGACGGAGGTTGAGTCAATACTTGTAGAACCATTCAATAATGTACCACAAAGACACATTATGTAAAACAGTCGAATACAAGTTGTTACATTTTGTACAGAATTTGCTAATGCAATATTCATTTGAAATTCGAAAGTTTATCTAATAAAAATAAATGGATCATTTCGGTGTATCTGTTCCGGTATGCTCCATTTTAAAATAAGTTCTTATCCTGTTCTTGTAAATATAGATTAAATTGCAATTAATATGTAAAATAATTTGGACAAAACATTTATATGAGCTGTCAGTCTGTTGTGAGAGCTTTCATACCCCCCGAGCAAAATTCGCAACTAAATTGTACCAGAAAAAAAATAATATTACGCTACCAGACTTGACAAATAGAAAGTCGCTTACCTTTTCTTCGAAATATTCATAAAACAGATGAAAATAGTCCAGATGAAAATAGTCCATATGAAAATAGTCCAGATGAAAAGGAGCAGTTTTAACCATATTGTTTATAGTAAAATTCTCACACTACTACCTAAAAACATGGATGCTGCTCTCTTGCATGTGTATGCAGGCCTATGTTGGCGCGACTGCCTAACATCAAAGGAGTGTCCCTTCTGCTTCTATTCCTTATTCTGTGGCAATGCCTTAATTTGACGCTTTCTGGCCGTTAGGATGTAGCCTTAATTCTGGGGAGAGACCATGCTGGCTACATGCACAAAGATCATGTAAACTAAAGAGACAACTGGGGACGAGTCAGCATCAGACCCCTCGAAGTGGGCTGCCATTATCCTTGTTTCTTACAATTGAACAATTATAAAGTGAAATAATCTGACCTATGTTAGGAACTATATACAAATCTTGAACAAGAGCATACAAAGCATGATTGGCATGGGATACTTAGCACCATAAAATTATAAACAATTGTCTTGTAAGTTAAATGTCTGCACGTCATCATTTTTTAGTACACACTCTAGATAGCCAAAAATCTTAATTTTTGGGCCATGAAAGGGCCTGACCAACAATTAACATATCACACATTGCACCGTCTGTTTTTAAGGTTTAATTTAGTGTCAAGGACAAGTCAAACACTATTACATTAACAAGATATGAAGATGTTAAGTCAAATATTAATAAACTAGTAGCATCAGAATGGCTACAATACAATACAATCAATACAATTTATTATTAATAATAATACTCCTTACAAATAAATAATCATACAAAAACAACCCTCCCACATTTAGCAAAGCTATTCGAGGTGGGGGGTTAATATAATCAACCAATCTGTCACAAGAAAAATGACCATCAAGCTCTATAGCAGAACTGACTGCTACAGATATATACCTCCAAAGTCGGTCGTACTATTAATGAAATTTAAATGAAAATAATAAACCAGAAAAGAAAAGCACGTATACAAATAATTGTTGAACAATTGATAAATTAATAAACCTCAGTCGAACAAAAACTACACAAATGTATCAGATACTGTTTGCATTATCTGGGTAAGATCAATATAGTCATCAGAGAAGAAGAAAGAGCATCAAAAAGTATACTCTTGCATAATTTAGAAAAACTGGATTTACTCAGTCTACAAACTGAAGGTGGCAAACTATTCCACATTTTTACGCCAATTCTAGAAAAGGATTTAGCTCGGGCATTTAGTCTTGAAGAAGGTAGATAAAGATTCCCTCGGACTGCGAACCCAGTGCTATAATTATGTGTATCAGCTATGCTGTTAAATAATGACACAATATTAACAGGTGACTCGTTATTCATAATGTTATGCATAGTGCACTTAATATTAAACTAGAAGTTACTAACGCAAGGAAAAGCTGCCTCGTGGCCAAAACGTTGGGTGAGGTTTTTCAAAATCTGTTAATAATCTGTGGATTATTCAAAACTAAATAACACTATAATGGAAACATCACACTATTATAATTTTTAAACAATGAAAATCGTATTTTATTGTAACAATTGCATGCAATATATATTACAACAATATTCTAATTATCTAAAGTTAAGAAAACAGTTCTTTGTAATGAAAGAGGTCCATTTTCTGAGCAATAGTAGCTAATAGAAATTAAGTAATTATGGGTCATTCCACGGCTTATTTCTCCGACAATATATGTATAATGTGGCCCGCAGGCCTACCTCCACACATTTAGCTATTATGCAATTGTCACTAAGATTAATTTGCGGATTTTGCAATATTCTTAGACACAAAGTCAAGTGTGGTCACTTCTAGAGTAATAACCTGGAATGACTCACAGTTAATAACTCTAACTAATAATCGATAAATATAATGCACAAGAGCCAAGGACTGTTAATACTATTAACAATGGAAACATAACATTATTATGTATACCATAACACTATTATATATACCATAACACTATTAATAATGGAAGCGCATAACACTATTATATATCCTGTCTGCCTGTATAATGTTTTTTTACAAAGAACTGTCAAAAGCTACATATCTTGTTAGCAGGTGAACTTATTAATGAACTTACGACACTATATAAGGCTATACAGCGGTATACAAGACTATACAACACTATACGACACTACACAATAATATACAAGGCTATATCACACTATAAAACATTATAACGTTATAAAGACTATATAACAATATATAAAGGATATACGACACTATACAACGTTATACAAGACTATACAACAATATTTAAGGCTATACGACACTATATGACACTATGGAGGACTATACAACACTATACTAGCTACACTATAGATGATTATTATACAAGACTATACAAGATTAAACAAGACTATACAACGTTATACTGTATGTCATTTTGATGTTTTCCTTTGTGGTTGAGTTAATCCCCGAGCCGGCGGCGCGAAGCGCCATGCGAGGGTACTAATTCCCCCCGGCTATTTACACCCGGGGAAACGAAAGCATTAGCGGAGTCTAAAGTTCATCAAATATCGCGGGCGTGGGTGACCAACCGTGGATGGTCATCCTCACTGATCTCAAATATATGGCGGACTGTCATGAATAGCGGACACTGATTGGTCCAATTTCAAATTTGCATTATAACGACTGCATGACGACAGCGAAATAGCAAACATTTCTTGATTTGATGATTGATGAATTTTTTGCTCGCAATTTTGCATAATTTTGTAAATTTCAAAAGTTTTCTCATCAAGAAAGGGCGAAAGAATCGGCTAAAAGAAGGGAGCCGACGTTAACTAAGGTAAGTTTGTTGTCTTTGTTTTAAATATTGATTTTATAATGGATTTAAAACCCGACGGCCTTTGCGTATATGAAACTATGAAACAACTAAACAAGACAGCATATAATTTCAGTGTATCTTTAATATTGATTCCCTTTTTTTATTATATTGAATTTTTTTTAAAAAAAAGAGAGCAAAGTTATTTGCAAGCGAGAATTTGAAATCATTTTATTGCAAACTCAAAGTTTATCGATAAAGCCATTTAATCATAAAAGGCTGTTTAGTTTTATAAAGAACACTTTAAAACGTTTTGCAAAGCGTTTGTGGTTGAATTTTATCTTAAATTGAAGCCTATATTACGTATAATAACATACCTAACATATATATGTTGGGAAATTGATAACTTTGTAATTAAAAGTGATATTTTTAGGAGATTTGTAAGAATATTCTTAAAAAAATTATCGTGTTACCATGACAACTGTTCTAGATACTTCATGTTCGGAAAATACAATGGTTTTGTCAGCAAGGCGAGGGTTTCTGCATGCATGTATTTTCTAGTAGTTATATACCCTGTGCCTGTGAGCAGAGCCTTAATATCAAGTCTTCAATCATTTTCACGTTTTTCTTTGTAAATCATAACAACATTTGCCAACATTGAACATGCCTGCATCATTCTGTCATGATATTTAAACGTTCAATATAAACTTATTACTAATAAGTAAACATTGTCAACACCATATACTAATAATTGGCTAAAACATACCTGCAAAAATAATTTTCTAATGAAATTATTGTCTTTTATTTGTGAAGAAATTATCGTTTTTTTATATTTTTCATCATGGCGGAAAATACAGAACGAGAGCTTTACAGCAACTTACGAGCAATTACCGACTGACAGAAATCTATATTTTGATTGAAGCTTCTATATTTTGATTGAAGCTGCATGGTTATAACTCAGTCAAGGAAACTGGCACGAGTCATAATGTCAAAATCAGTTGTCAAGAATAGTGTGCTGCCTACGGCAGCAAAATAATAAAGAAAATCTAGTGGAAGAATATTTGATTTAATAAAGAAGGGTATAACCTCCAAAGTTTATTAAACGTACAACTTGTTTTTCTAACACAAGAAGTTGATTGAGATCTGTTTTGCAAGCTTGTCCCCAAACAGTTAAACCATATGTCAAATATGGGTGCACTAAAGCATAATAAATCCTTTCCAAAGTATGCTTAGGAGTAAAATGTCTAATTCTAGCGACAATTCCAACAATCCGACAAAGATTAAGGGAGATGTAATCAATATGAGATTTCCAAGATAAATTGGAATCAATTATCAGACCAAGGTATTTCACTGTATTTTTCCTCTCTAATGGTAGCATCATTTTGGAGCTCTGATCAAATACTTTGAGTTGATTATAATTTATCTTTTTCTGCCTTGTATGGAAAATAACAAAATTAGATTTCCTGGTGTTAAGGGTCAACTTTTTAGCTTCAAGCCAACAGCAAACCTTCTTCAGTTCATTATTAACAATTTCTTCCAATTTATGAAGATTTTTATGAGAGTAAAGTATGCTAGTGTCTTCCGCGAACAAACAGAAATGTAATGTATTGGGTGATAAATAAATGTTGTTCACATATAAAAGAAAAAGCAAGAGTCCCCTCCTAGAGCAGATCCTTGAGGAACTCCATGGGAACATTTTTCCTTTTTGGATATAAAATAACATATAGCTGTTGTTTGATACCTATTGTTTAGGTATGATCCAAACCAGTCAAGTACAATACCTCGAATACCATAATGATTAAGCTTTCTTACTAAAATATGATCCACAGTGTCAGACACTTTTTTTAAATCAATAAAAATACCACAGGTAAATTAACTGTTGTCCACATTTTTGTGTTTTTAATCAACAATATCAATAACAGCATACTGAGTTGAGTAATGTTTCCTAAAGCCATACTGTGCAGGAAATAGCAAGTTTTGTTTATCTTTAAAATCATTTAATCTAAGGTACATAACTTTCTCAAAGATTCAATTGAACACAGACAATAAGGAGATAGATCTATAATTATCTGGTTCAGACTGGTCTCCAGACTTGAAAATAGGAACAATTTTTGCCATTTTCAATTTGCTTGGATACACACCTTGTCCGATAGACCTGTCAATATTCATTGCTAAGACAGGACTAATGATGGATTTTGATAGCTTAATACCATAAGACCATAAGTCTTATTTCCTGGTATACTAGATATTTGTTCTTGAACCTTGTAAGCAGAAAAAGCATTGAAAAAGAAAGATTCATTAACAGAGTCCCCTAGATATGATGAGAATGAATTATCAGATGATGCCTACTAGCTAGTTTTTGCCCTGTAGTAGCAAAGTGAGCATTGAATATATTACCAATTTCAAACTGGTGATTAGTTATTAAACTAGAATTTTTTTTAATGTTTCTAATGTTGCATTTGTTTTTCCTTTTTTCTACTAGAGATTAGATTGTTAATTCCCTTCCAAGTTTGTTTTATATTGTGTAAATTAGACTCAAAGAAAGAATGATAATATAGGGACTTACTGTGCCTTGTGAGCTGAGAAATTCTATTTCTGTAAAGTCTATATTTATCTCTCACCATTTTTGTAGTATTTGTTTTTTAACCTAATTGAAGTTCTGATTCCTTTGGTTATCCATGGTTTAGAAATTTGTTTTGCTTTACAATTTGATACAGGCTTAAACGGTGCATGTTTATTTGCTGTTTTGTTAAGTTTGCGATAGAAAGTGCAAAAAGCAGTATCAACATTTGTATGATCCTGTACATTCACAACTTTGTCGTGAAGATCTGTTAAAAACAACCGCTTGTTAAATTTCGAGTAATCCCTTATTTTCTTGTTTCTAGTCCTAGATGAGACTTTGTGCAATTATACAGAATACAGACTTGTGAAAAATGATCACTTATGTCGGATACAATATTTCCACTAAGGGAGTTGCACTCAATGTTATTGAAAAATATATTACCAATAAGAGTTGCAGAATTACCGTAAACTCTTGTTGGTTTAGTGAGTCAGGAAAAGGTGGAGCTGTATAAACAGTTTAAAAATTGTTTGCTGTAGTTTTTTAGTTACTTGTTTCATATTTAAGAAGATCTATATTGAAGTCACCCATCATGCAAACAGTCTTAGACAATTTGTTGAAATTATATAAGGTTGCACTTATATAACCTACAAATTTAGTTGTATCATTGTGCTGTCGATAAACAACACCACAAACAATACTT